TGAAACCGGACTCGTTTGTCGACCGAACGAGACAGTGCATCCGCCACGACGTTCGACGATCCCTTGTGGTACTCTATGGATACGTCGTAACTCTGGAGCTCCACTACCCAACGGGCTAGATTGTCATGGGTTTTGTTGTGGGTTAGGAGGAAGGTTAGCGGGCGATGATCCGAGTATACCGTCGTGTGATTACCATAGATTACCGTTCGGAAGAACCGCAAAGCCGAAATTATAGCGAAAAGTTCTATGTGCGTTGGGCTCCATTTTTGTTGACTTTCTGATAGCGCTTTGCTAAAGTAGCCTACCGCGACCAACTGTCCCTCGTCCGTTTTTTGAAATAATGCCGCACCTACCGCGACCTGACTCCCATCGGTGTGCAGGTAGAACTCCTTGTCCTCCGGGAAAGCAAGGCATGGTTTTGTTAGCAAAGACGTTTTCAAGCGCTGGAAAGCCTCTTCCTGCTCAGGTCCCCAGGCGAATTTTGCCTTGTCCTTGAGTAAGGCATACAGAGGCACAGCAATGGACGCAAAATCCGCGATGAACTTACGGAAGAAGTTGGCCATGCCTACGAAAGCCTTGACTTCTTTTATAGAAGTGGGCGTGGGGAAGTCCTTGATGGCGCGTAGGTTACGGTCTGCAGGGGAGTAGGATCTGCCGGAAATTTCGTGTCCCAGGAATGTGATTCTGGTACGGGCGATCTCCGTCAACTTCTTGCCCGACGCTTTTATATTGAACTGGCGAAAGCGTAGAAACACCTTGCGCAATGATACTAGATGGCTAGGGAAATCCTTGTTGAAAACGACGATATCGTCGAGATAGGCGAGACAATTGTCTTCGAGGCCAGCCAATATGCGGGACATTGCGCGGGAAAAGTATGCTCCCGCATTCTTCAGTCCAAAAGGCAAATATACAAACTGATAGATGCCTTTGTGTGTGGCCCAACCGCATTTTTCCTGACTTTCTGGGGCCAACAATAGTTGCATGTACCCCGAAGCCAAGTCCAGGGTAGTATAAAACCTGTGGCCGGAAACCTTGCTCAAAATATCCTCGATGCGCGGTAAGGGGTAGTGGTCCGGGATGGTAATGTCGTTCAACGGCCGGAAGTCAAGGCATACTCGGAGAGAGCCGTCCTTTTTCTTTACGAGGACCGTGTTATGCACCCAAGGAGTATCACTCTCAACGATCCTGCCGGCTCGAAGGAGTTTGTTAATATGCTCCTCAAGCTCTTTTTGGAACTTGACGGGGATGCGCGGCGGTCTGAACCGGGTCGGAGGGAATTGAGATGTAGTTTTGATGACAATAGGGGAATCCTCGTAGGAACCCAAGTCGTAGGTGTCGTGGGATATCCTATCGCTGAATTCTTCAAACAGAGCTTGTAATTGGTCCCTTTGGGCCTGCGTAACTTCTGCATGGGACAAGTCTATAGTGAATGGTTTCGGCGATGCGGGGGCTTCCTGAACGAGCACACATGGATGCCTAGGAGAAAACCCGGTGCTAGGGGTGCAACTGGTTTGATGCTGACGGGGTTTCGCTGTCTAAGAGAGGGGAAGCCGAAGAAATGTGCTGTCCCTTATACAGAACGTGAGAGGACAGCGTGGGATTTGCAACCAAGATGAAGGTCTTGCCAGAGTTGACCACAGCAGGACTCACCATTAGCGATTTTTCGGATAGTGAATCTGATTGGGCTGTGAGGATCAACGGAGAAAAGGGAGACAGAGTCTCACATGGCACAAAAGTTTCGGTTTGTGGAGGAAGGACCGTAGTCTCCATGACACGAACCGGTACGGGGCGCGTTGATGCTGGTTGGGGAAGAGACTGCGGGGACAAGCAAAGAATACCCACTTTTTGATCTGCAACTGAGAAAATTCTGCTGTCATAGTCGATACTCCACTGCGGAAGGCGGGACAGAAGATCATTACCCATTATTATATTATAGGAGTCGGCTTCGTGAGGGACGCATTGCGACTCGGTGAAGTAGACTGGGTGAGTGAAAGTGAAGGAGCCTATTTGGAAGCGCAAGTCAGCGACACCCAGCAATTTTATGGGTATACCCGCCATGCCCATGGCCGAAGGAACATCACTGCTTCGCAACTGGAAAACTCCAAGTAAAGGGGCAGTGGCTTTGGATGTGACTGTTATTGCAGCGCCGGTATCAACTAACGCCAAAACGCTGATATCGTTAACCTTAATTGGTATTTGGGCAACAAAGAATCGCTGCAATTCCTCAAGTACAAGAACCCTGGGAGGGGAGAATGTTGCTTTAGGAGGCCATACCCCTGTGGCATTGATGGCTACCTGCGCTACCTCTACTGGCTCGGGTGGGGTAGGGAGGGCATGCACGTTAGAACTCAGAACTGCAGGAGTAGGCAGGGGATTCTGCGGAGGGAAATTAAGCGATGTGGGTAAGAGAGGTTGAAGTCGGGGCAGCCAGCCCGGATACATAACATTGCAATATAATGTAAAGAAAAATTTCAAAATGCGGAAAGAAACGAAAAGCGAACAAATGGAAATCCATAAGTCAAATATGGACCAACCGTGGAATAGAAGAGCGGATAAAGATAATGAAGGTGCAGAATCCTGGGAATTTGATTGTGCCTGCGTGTTAGCCAGCGATCTGTCCAACTGTAGCAATCGCTCCTGATTGATTGAGGTCCAGATTTCCTGAAGTTGATGGTCTTGAGTCAATTCGGACAAATTGGTCAACACTAAGTTGTGAAAAATCGTAAGAGGTAGCGTCATAGCAGAGGAATTGAGTTGTCCCGGCGTGCTCAGGACTTGAACACTGGGGAGGATGCGAAAGTGGCCCGAGTAAGGATCAAATTCATGGTATGAAGAGGCTATGCGAAAGAAGAAACGCGAATTTGCGGAACAATCAACTGTTTTGGGATTGGGAGATACTACTAATGTAAGAGGATCAATAAAAGAGCGGATAGTTGTGCCACTATTCAAAGTCATTTTGATAGCTGGTTTGGAAAAACAAGTACCATTGAACGGAAGGATACTATAATGACTAGGCGGAATGGCAAGACATCTATGAATCTGAACCAAATCGTTACCAAGGTAAGTTGCAGCAATGTCGTCACGCTGGAGAAGATTTCTCATGGCAAAAGTAGGATTAGCCGATAGAGAGGTATGTATGGCCAGAGCGAGCAGGTTAGTGCGGTCACATAGAGCAGATAAGGCATGATGGAACAGAGCTGTGACTGCGGATTCGACGCTACCCTCTACTGCGAGAAGCTGAGCGGCCAATTGGTTAGAGGTAATGAAACCAACGTTAGTGTCGGATGCTCGCGGGAAGCGGTGCTTGACCATAACGGCATACCCTTGGTCAGTGATTATAAGCTCCTTACCGCAATCGGATTTGTGCGTGCTGTCCTCATGCCATGAGAGAGCGA